CACACACACACACACACACACACACACACACACACACACACACACACACATATTCAAACTCTGTGTATGTGTCTGTTTTAGACTGTCACCACAACAACACCTTGTCCACCCAGATGAGCAGATCCAAAATTGAGACAGTCCTATCTTACAGTCGTCTATCAACTTATATATGGTATTTTAAATGGTTGTAATATTTCGATCAAACTGCCGTTTCATTGTTGTATTCTGAGAGGTGAAAGGTCCACCATTTCTAAAGCCGTTTCATTGTTGTATTCTGAGAGGTAAAAGGTCCACCATGTCTGTGTACTTTAGCATGTAATGCGTACACACTCGTTTGCTTTTCAGCACACCTGCACTTCATATTTTCTCTGTTCTCTTAATAATGCTCGTTCATATGCATTTAGCAGTTCTTCATGAGGGGAGGAAGGAGGGAGAATGGGAAAGGGAGGGAGGACGAAACAGAGCTAGGGAAAGATGAACCTCATAGGTCCTCAATACTCACCGGCGGAGCAGACTGCTAGAGAAGGGGACAAGAGGGCAGTCAGTGTTTGGGTTGCAGAGAAACAGGATTGAGGAACAGGCGTTGCCTATCGTAAGTGACCACCCCTGCAGACCGGGCAGGTCCAGTTCAGGTGTGGACTGTGGAAGCACGGCATCCAATTCTCACAGTTGCAGTTGCTGCATGGAATGTTCCGGCGTAGACAGATGTCACAGACAACATGGCTCCCATATGCTAGGAACACAGAGGCATGCCGACCACAATTGTCTAGGCGCTGCCGTTCCAGCCTCTGTCGACAAATAGGGCATGCAATGTTAGGGCATCATACATGCGTTCAATGTTGACTGTTATCATGTGTATGAAAGCGAAGACTTGCATGGGCTTTACTCTCATAATCATCACGACTCGAAGCATGTCAATCACATGCTATCCAAATTTCAGGCGGGGCATCACAGTACAGCATTGAGCAAGCTTCCTGGGTTCTGCAGCCGAAGTTCCCTCTCTATGGACAGACGACGACAGGGCCTGATCCAAAAAGGGTGATGCATACTCGGATCATGCAACGGAGCCAAAGGACCAGCAAAGTGATGCTAAGGACTCAGACTCACAACGCATCAACAAGAGAGCAATGTGAGAACATACAACAACGAAATAAGGCAACGTAGCACAGCGGAAGACTCAAAAATCACTACCTGACAACATGGACTCAGAGACCCGACTCATCCCATCAACATCACACATGTGAGAGAGAGATTAGGGACCGCAAGCATAGAAGAAAGGTCCCTCCTTGATCAGGCACATGGGGAGAATACCACGGCTAAAGGGAGGTACGAGGAGCAAGACGAAGATGGAGGCGAGGGAGTAGACCAGAGTCGCAACAGTGCTGCCGAAAAATAGTCTCCCTGTCAAATGTCCAATCAATGTCTAACGGCATAGTACGCACAGTGGCCTTGCTGTAGAGCGATGAGATCATTTGGTTCAGTGGATTGCACAGGAGGGGGAGGCACATTCCAGTCTCGACAGTCTATGTCAGGCACTTCTGGCTCTGATAAATCCATTGGCTCCAGCATGCGCTCTGAGACAGATCGTCTCCAGTCTCGGGTCCCATCAAATGATCAGAAGGTGGATCATTGTCATCTGGAGTGGGGGAGCAACAGGGCCGAAGTGAATTACAAGCAGGGGACTTCAGATCCAAAGCACGGAAGCTGATCAGCCACAGTTGCTCAGAGTGGTGGCTGCTAGTCGTGCACACGGTGCACAGCTGGCTGGACCCCATGTCTGAGTGCACACACATGCCCAGAGCGGGCTCGGTATGTACTGGTCCTGGCTCGCGTGTGTTGGGAGCGTCAGCATCATTCTCTAAGGTTATGTGCATGGCGGCAGAGTAGATCTCTGACTCCCATTGGGGGTGTGACAATCATGCGGTTCATGTACGAACTAGGCCGCCGTCCAGGGGTCAGTGGTGGAGATGGGGAGTGTCTGTGCAGAAGAGGGATCTGTAACGCCCGATCTGACCACAAATGTGTTGATGATGGAGACAATGACATAGACGAGGAGGAGGAGGAGGAAGCCGAGGTGCGCTCACGCCCAAGCATGTGAAACCTTAGCGTACTGTTTTCTTTGCGGAGTCTGAGAGAATTTGAGTTTCAAAAAACTTTTAATGACGTGCTGTCTCTTGAGCATGCTGATGATCTCTGCAGGCAGAGGCCAAGATCACAGAACAGACCTTTCACACTCTTTCACAGGGAAGCAAGGCCTGGACATGCCTACCGTCTTCACCCCAAAAGAACGCACAGTCATTATAGCTGTATTTGGTGCAAGATGAAGTCTAGACAGCAATAATCGATAATGACAGTGCGTCCTATTCAGGGTAAGAGGGTACTGATACCTCAGAGGAGGTCCTAGCCCCCTCCTGGTTTAAAATTTCCACCCTACTTCCGCTGTACCTAACCTAGACCTGGACCCAACCTACCACCCAGCCCACCTCTTATCAAACATCATACAAAGGTCTTGAACCTGACGGCATGCCTTGCGCAGTTGGGTATTGGCAAAAGTTGTGAAACCAAAAGCTTATGCCCAAAAGAAACAGCACAAAGACAAAGCCATCCACACAGATCCATTGGACGACTGTTCTCCGAAAAGATAATAGGGAATGCATGGTATTCCGGCCAGATAGACGGCTCATCTGGAATTCAAAGTCAAGCAACATCTCATAATCTGCAATAGTTAGATACAAAGGTACAGACCAATGGCAGAAGCTTTGGCGATGATCACCCATGTGGACACCCACCTCTACCATGGCCAAGCCATGAATGCCATCGCTGGAATCGTGCTGCCATCTGTGTGCGTGTATATTCAGAGAAACAACTCGAACAGAACAGCATGTGGCTAGGATAGACTGTTTCATCGGACTTTCACCGACTCATCAGGAGGATGGACCTCGACAGCCGAAAGAGGGCCCAGAGCCTTAGACCACCAGTACGTTTCCCAGGCATTTTGCGACGACGTGGCCGTGCAAGTGCCGCATCTGCCAGGATGTACCGTCCTGACAGGCCACAAAATATTCACCCAGGCAAAACTCTTCAGATGCACAATTGAGTTTTGCCTGGATGTATATTTTGCAGCCCACCAGTTCAGTACATCCGTGCATGGCCGCATCATAGCAGAGTGGCCGAAAAACATACTGGTGACTTAAGGTTGTGCACCCCTTGCATAACATTAAGGAGCTTACTGCAAAAAGCACAAATGGAGAACCCCGACCATCTTCACCCAAAAATAACGCCTGGCCGTTATATTCAACTTACCCTTAAAAAATCAGATTTTTGTTTTTACTCTCTGACTGTGTCTCAGTCCCAGTGTCGCTGATCATCCTCTGAACGCCCCTTCGAATATAACGCCCGGGCGTTATGCTCGAATAGAACGCCTGGGCATTATATTTGAATGTGCCATGGGCAGAGTGCCCTGTAGAGGGCGTATACATGGGTTTTAAAGGGGGGGAAGGGGGGTATACATGGGTGTTAAGGGGGTTGAAAGGGGTTTTGACTTCCAAGGGGTATGTTTTGGTTTGATTTTTTGTTTTCCTTCTGGCTGCAAGAGTGAGCGGTAAGAGCGTCCACTCCTTGCAGATTTGTTTTCTTTTCTTACTTCCAAATTTATGAGGAATTCTGAAGTGACCCTCAGCCAAAAGTTGGTTGCATAACAGTTCTAGACAACATATCTTTTTCACAGATTTTTTTATTTTTATTTTTTTTAAGTTTTGGGGTCCCACCGAAGATGCCACCAATTTACCAAATATAACTTCCCGGTGTTATAAACGAGTATAACACCCTCCGGGCAATGCCCGGGCGTTATTTTTGGGTGAAGATGGTAACAGCCATATCACCTGCGAACGCGTGAGGCTGCACCCATCCACACAGCGATTGGGTCGGCGAAGATTGAGGATTCACCTTGAATTTACCTGGGCCGGTTAGTCCGATGATAATATCCTAAGGCCGTCACCCTTTAGAAAGGGAAAAACAAAATCCCCCCAGTCCTGCAGCCCCACTTTTGCATAAAATAATTGAGATAGTGAAGCTCAAGCTCAACAGGTGATCGCAGGCAAGTGAGCATCTTCCCGCTCCGTACTGCAGCAATAGCAAGCCAAAGTCCCATACTGTTGTACTTCACTCTCACCGCTCGAATAGAGAGACAGAAAATAAAATTCACCATCACCAGAGTTAAAGAAGGAGAGAAGAGTGGTCAAGGATTTCCTCTGAAAGGCACCGCTCTACAAGGGGAACACTTGTGCATTTTTTTGTCAAAAAGAACTGAAGATAACTTTATCAAAAACCCTCACACCTCAAAGGATAATAAACTTCTTTCTGCTTCCTTGCTACAAAATGGCCAAACAACCCCTATCTCTGAGTGGTGTATGAGTGGAAGGATTGGGAGTCCTCGACAGTGGTCATCGAGGTAACGTAGGGAGGAAGTTGATAATGCCATGATATTAAACCGCCAGTACCTTTCACAGCTATCGGCCATGGGCCCTGCGCGCTGAGTTTTGGCGGCGCATCTGGCCACCGCCAGAGGCTGAGTGCGGCCTCCGTGTTAACCGGCGCGTTTCGGCAAATTGCCTGGGAAAGGTAATCGTGGTTTAATGCTCATATCATCTTCTTATTCAGTTAAGGGTTTCATTGTCCTCAACCCCTATACTTTGCCTAAATGATTTGCTATACTCCTTCAGGGCCTTCCCCTTCCGCGCAAGCATACGAAGGAACATGTGATTATGTGAAGGCACACACTCACACATACATGCGGATGAGAGTGAGTAACTGCTGCAAGCATGCACGTAGTACCTGTCAGTGAAGTGAACTCACCTCGCGAAAGCAAGCAGATCGTCGCCTGCCAAAGCAACATGCAAACCAGGCTCCAACAGCCATGACTTTGTTGTGTCAAGATTACCACCAATTCCCCCAGTGTCTGCTTCCCATGCTTCTGCTGCACCCGCACCACCGCTCAGTAGGCTTGTCAATTGCTCCACAACAACGCGGCCACACACCTTCAGAGTTTTTGTCTTCCCTGCACGACCGCGTAGAAGAAACAACAATAGAGTATAAGGAGCAAGTTGGGGGAAACCCTTCAAGGGCTTTCACAAGGAGGCAATCAAGCAACTGCGAGGAGGCAAGGACATAAAGGAGGAGGAGGAGGAGAAAAAAAAGGGTGCAAAAAAGGAGAATGGCAATGACAAGGGAAAAAAAAGGAGCCAGCAACAAGAGAGAGGAGAAGGGCAAGGAGGAGACAGTACATGGGAGTGGAGGAAGCAGAGGAGTTGTTCACATCTTGGCTTGCAGTTACTTTAGGCATACCCTCCTCCTGTTGACCACCCTTTAGTACATGTATCTTGTGCCACCCTTATCTCATGAACAATAGTCTCACCCTACATTTGCGTCTAAGGTGTGTCATCCTTGCGCAGGGGCCATGCTAATCTTCTCTGTATCATTCCAACTGTAGCGGATGTCCCGAAAGAAGAAGAAGGAAGAGGAAGAGGAAAAAGGAAAGAGGACATCTGCATCTAAGGCCCCACTTCTCCCACTGTGGATCCCCCTCGGTCACGGGTAGGCATATGGGTCATCATGTTTGCCCTCGCTTCCGGTCTCCACAGTCCAGTCTTACCCAATCCTGCATATGTGTGAGAAAAGATATTGAGGTCGCCCAACCAGAATCCTTCATGTCGACATTGCCCTCTTAGAGGGGAGGACCTGTCTCTTATACACATCTAGATGTGTATAAGAGACAGTCTCCATTGTGTTTTATGGTCCTGCGTGGCTTCCATAGGTTTCACCTGTAGAGTTTTATAGTATGGTCCGTCCCTGGCTCTTATCATCATTGTGTAGACTCCATGGGCTTGGCCTGCAGAACATCAGCATGGTCCGTTCTTCCACCCCCCTCCCGCTCATTCCACATGATGTTTCCCTTTTGCAGTATGCATGCTTCCTTTGAGGTATGGCTCTTAGCGCTGCATCCATCACAAGACCATCCCTCACCCAGCATGTTGTTGATGACCATCACTGATACTCTTGTATAGGGATACGGTGTCCTGCGGTGTATTATTTAGGGCATTCAGACCTAGGCTTATAGAACTGGGGAAATCACTCTCTTTTATTCACTGTTTCAGGCCGTGCACGAAGACTCTTTTTCCTCAGTCTAGGCTCACCCCACCATGCATCTGTGTGAAGGTCGTCTCCGAAGATACTGAAGTTGCCCAGATGGAATCCTTAGTATCTTCGTAGCATTCCACCCTGTTTTAAAGCCTCTACCTAGCCTCTACACTTGCATATGAGATTTGGCCCCTATGTGGTATTTCCAACCTTGTACGTGACAGTTATGTGCTGCTTTCCATAGTTTTTTTCTTGTAGAGCTTCACCGTGATCCAGCCCCATTTCCCTACCATCACTTTGTTGCCTTCAGCAGCATGGTCGATTTCCCGCACAGTCAGCCTTGTCGTGCAGAACTTCAGTATCGTCGGTTCCACAGCCCTTGCACTGGATCGTTCCGGTCCCCCAGTCCTTCAACTGGATGTTTACCCTATTGCTGTAAGGATGCCCCCATAAACCACCAATACCTTTCCCCGCTTGAAAAACAGAAGTGCAGTGGCGGTTAACACGGAAGTGCAGGCCCSCCGCAAAATGGCTGGCAGCGGCAGCCAGATACATCCGTGTCACGTCTTTTTTTGTGGCACGGCGCGCAGAGCAATTTCAGTCCCAGATATGGGAAAGGTACTGGTAGTTTAAAGCCATGAGCCTACGACTTTTAGCGCTGCATTACCCGCATCCCCCCTCCTCCCAAAAGACCTCTTTTTCACGATGCTGATTTCTGCCGAACCACCAGCCTTTACCGTCGGGTAAGCCCGACCTAGAATTTTGTGGCTGGGAAACGGACTGGTGGTTTAAGCCCCCACTCCCCCCGCCGGCCTAAATTCGGTCTTCCTGACCTTACGCACCGGGTTTTTAGGGGGGCGGCGACCAGCAGGTGCAGGCGGGTTCAATCCCGCAATTTTCAAGCGCCAACTTTGGCGAATTTTTGCGATCAGAAGAATTAATGGAAAAGTCTGAAAATTTGAGATCTTGTAGATTAGGCTATGATCTATCCAGGGGCTGAGACCGACTAGCATCGCCTAAAATGGTGTGTGACATCCGTTTCTTTTTTAAAAACATCTATATATCGTCAAATAGAACTGCCCGGTTAACCGTAGGCAGAGAGGGAGAAGAGGACAACAAACGAGGGGCTGTGACAAACTGTTTCGTCGGAGTTTCATATATATAAACTCCGACGAAACAGTTTGTCACAGCCCCTCGTTTGTTGTCCTCTTCTCCCTCTCTGCCTACGGTTTACCGGGCAGTTCTATTTGTGACGATATATATATATATATATATATCGTCAAATAGAACTGCC